TTTGAACTGCATAGAAATTGTCCAGATTATGAACCAACAATGAGAAGTAAATACTAGAAATTCAACAAACACAGAAATATACTAATTCCCGAAATTCTACAAATTGAAACTCAAATCCCAACAACTACTAAATAAAACATAAAAAGGAATTAAAATCATAACGCTGTTGTTGCAACACCTACCCGTTGAAGGTGGTGAACGCGTCACCGGAAAGCAGAAGCAAGGGACCGTTGAGTCACCAAGAGGGAAACTTTTTATACATATATATGAACGACGGAAAAAGTTTTTTTTTTTTTTTCTGTCGTCTCGCCTGTGCTTGGGAGGGAATCTTTTCCTTCGCTTTGGTTACTCCTCGTTCGTTCCAACTGTCAACTGTCGTTTGGGTCGTTCGGCAATGGATAATTTGTGGTGCGGACTGCGGAGCTAAGCTAGGCTAAGGATTGTTCTAAGCCGTTAATCGTTTAGATTTGGAATGGAATCGGATGGGTCCACAAAAATAGATGTATATTATAAAAACAAAAATAAAAAAAAATAAAAGATCATGAAAAGTATAATTAATTAAAAATAAAGATAAAAAATAAAAATAAAAAGTCACACCAACAAGTAAGGGTGCCCACGGTTCCGGAACCGAATCGAAAAGTTTCAGTTCCGGTTCTAATACGGTGACAAAACCGACGGTTCCGATCGATTTTCCGGCGAATCACATAATTTTAAATTTTAAAGACCGATTTTCAAAATTTAATAAATTTGCAGTTCCTGGTTCTAAATACGGTGACAAAACCGGGACGCGGTTCCGATCGATTTTCCGCGCGAATCACATAATTTTAAATTTTAAAGACCGATTTTCAAAATTTAATTCAAATTTGGTGAAAGTTATTTGCTTAAAAAAAAATACACCTAGAAAAAATTCTAAATACTTCAATTAAATTGTATAATTCTTAAAAGGACTTGAACATAATTATTTTTATTTTCAAAGGAAACTAATTACTTCAACTGAAATTTATTTTAATATATATAAAAAGTTTTCGATTCAATAATTAAAAAAAAAAAGACACAACTGACCAAGTTCATAACGGTTAGAATCGCCGCGTTCGAAACCAGCAGGGTTCATAACCGGCGCCGTTCACAATTTCGATTCCAGAACCAAGTTTTGTGGAACCACTGGTTATTGGTTCCAGAAAATCTGAGGAACCGGAAACTGGAACCAAGAAAAATCTCATTTGTAAAAAAAATACACCTAAAAAATTTAAAAATACTTCAATTAAATTTATTTTTTAAAAGACTTGAACATAATTATTTTTTTTAAAAAAATTCTTCAACTGAATTTATTTTTTATTTAAAAAAGTTTGATCATAATTAAAAAAAAAAAAACACAACTGACAGTTTATAACGGTTAGAATCGCCGGTTCGAACCAGCGGTTCTAACCGGCGGTTCCAATTCGATTCCGACCAGTTTTGTGGAACCACTGGTTTTGGTTCCAGAAATCTGGAACCGGAACTGAACCGAAAATCTCCGGTTCAGACCGATTTCGATATTTCTGGAACCAGAACTGAATCGAAAATCTCCTGTTCAGACCGATTCCGGTTCTCACGGTTCCGGTTACGGTTTAGGACCGGTTCGAACCGACGGTTCCGGTTCCCAAAACCGTAATATGGCCACCCTTACCAACAAGAAACCGAAAGTCATTTATTTATTATTATCGGTAGAGTAAAAAACACTGCAGTTAATAACAAATTTTATACATTATTTTTTACCTTCTTAAATGTCTCCTGTGCATTGAAATTTGGATTAAGTTTAATCTCACTACGATGCATCTAGTTAATTAACTCATAAGAGGGAAGTGCTCCCAATAATTATTTTCAAATGAAAAAAAAAAATGCAACTAATAATAAATTTTATACATTTAGCAATAATAAATTCCATAATAATAAACTTATATCTATTCAACAACATTAAGTTTATAAATAAATAAAAATTAGAAAAATCATTCCGATATTATTAGGGTATGCACATGTAAGAAGAATTGATTCTCCAATATGTCGAAAATTGGGCCACATTTCGGCCCTAAATCAGAATTGATTTAGACCCAAATTGGGCTTAGTATTTGGGTTATTGGAAACGGAAAGAAACAAAGAAATTAAGTTAGTTGAGTATTCGTAATTAGCTCGTTGACATTATGGTTCCATTCCAACTCAACAAATAGATCAATATTATAAAAATATGAAATTATAGGGAAGCCCCAATTATAAATGCATTATCATTACAAAATAGTCATAATTAATATAATCCTTATATATAAAAAGGATGATGATTTGTTAATTACTAAAAAAACATTCACTTGAATTGAAATGGTCTAATTAGGACTAAAGAGTGTACTTAGTACCTAGTAATAATTAAAACAATTTCATTACACATCTAACTTCATTTTGAAAATGTTACTATTAAAGTATATATACCCATTAACCCAAATTATATTTTATGATATGGAGAGTTTCCTACGGACCTCGTCATAATTTTTTTTTTTTTTTTTTAAGAATGAAATGGTAATACTTCAAATGCTTAATTTTTATATAATGACATAAAAGAAGAAAGAAAAAATTAATAGAAGCAAAACTATAATGACCTAATTAAGTTACTTGATCTTATTGGTAGTACAATGTTTCTGGTAATCAGACTTTCTTTTTTTTTTTGATTTATTGAATCATAAGAAGTAACCTTGAAAATACATGCACGTTTTCCTTTTTAATCATTTAATTAAATTGTTAAGGAAATAATTAATCACAAGACACATTAATTAACATATATTAAAATAAAATATTAACCAGAAGAAGGAGAAGGAGAAGAAGAAATATGCATTATGTATAATAATAATAATAATAATAATAATCTTTGCAAAAAAAACAAAACAAAACATCCTTTTCGTGATGTTGCCACTCAAAACTATATATATCACGCATTTCCATTTTGTTATTGTTACCAACAACTATATATTAAATGATATACAGTTATATCTCTTGATGGGTTCCAAATTATTTGCCTATAACATGTGCACATAATTAGATGCTAATCTTTTTTTATTAATAACATGATTGCAAATGCCATGACCTAAGAAATTTTGTGTGGTAGGATTAGGTGATGAAAGTTCAAAAAATGTTTTATGTATATATAAGAAGAGGAAGGGAGGAGAAGAAACCTACACCATATACCTTTTTTTTTTATTTTTTGGTATTTTCTATTTTAATTTGGCAATCATAAGTCATGAACAATCTTTATCAAATCAACGCTTAATAATCAATTAATCATCAAATATAGTTTATTGTGGCTCAAAAGGAACAAGTAATCAATTTTAAGTCCATTGGGTCATTGACATTTGTTAGATATTTTCTTCATTGATTTATAAAAGGAAAATTAATATGTGGTTTGGTTCCATTTGAAAGAGTGACAGTCAAACCCTTCGTGGAAAAGGAATCCAACTTTAACTACTCGGCTGCTTATTTTCCTTTTATTTTTTTACTCTCTTCGGATTTTTCAAATCTACCTCACCTATATTTATATGTGATTATTGGTGTCATTTGACTATAATATTTTTATTATTATTATTATTACATTATCATTTATTTACATTTAATATATAATTATCTGCAATGACAATAATGTTTTGCCCGGCTAAAAATATTTAATTCTCACAATATTATAATCACATATTTTTGAATGTAGAGACTTAGTTTAGTTTTTTATGATCTATAGATAAATAGACTTGAATAATATTTTTTACGAGTTTTAAAAATAACCGCTCGATTACTGGGTTTGATCTGGTTCGACTTTTAAATATATTAAACCATTCATTTAGAATGATATTATTACTTTAATTAAGGATTTTCTTAAGAACAAAATAATTCAATATTATTTTTTTCAACTTTTAAAATATGACTTTTTTATTTCATATAATCTGGTTTGATTTTAAACGGTTTCATAATAAAACTGAAACGAATTATTTTAAGAACATTTTAATGGTTTAATGCGATTAAATTAGATTTTGTAGTTTAATACGTACATTATATTATACTACGTAGAAGCTTAATCTTAAATTACTTATTACGAAGCCACATCAACATATATATTGAATAATATGATTTAAGTCATGTCATCAAAATGAAACTGTTAAATTTTATCTCACACAAAATAATAAAAATAATAACAAAATTCAACATCTCCACACAAGTACGAGGATGTATTAATTTGAAAGTTTTATTCTTTAATGCTTGTGGCTTTTTTTTTTTTTTTTAATAATATGTATTTCGTCATTCTTTCTGTTTTATCAATGCAAGAGCAGATTGGGATGCAACCCTTAACTGATAAAAATAGAAGGTGCAATGATTGGAAGATTTTTTAATCCGGCCGTACACTTGAAATACATAATTAATTTTTATGATATGCCTAAAAGTTTGTATTTCCTCACTATAAATATGATAAAATTCAAACCACTAGATTTCGATCAACCATGCATTTGAATTTATTATATATCGATTTTATTTTATTTCTGATGAAGATTGGATTGGATAATGCAATAAAACTTTAATTGTTTATTTTTATTTTTGAAAAACAAAAGAAAAAGGAAATCTTATGTTTTTTTATATTTTCATGTCCAAACCATTTAAAGTATTGTATTTTTATGGATTTAACTTGTCCAGTCGAGTTTACGGTTTCACTTATAGAACAAATTAATATAAATAAAAATGTTTTAAAAAATTATTCATACTTTATCATTTTTTTTTTCCAATTGTATGGTAAAAAATGTTATGGGGTTCAACAAAAAATCATTTTTCATTCGATCCCCATTTTTATTGTCTCTACAAGAAATCTAACCCCTGACAGTCTTCTCCTGGAAATTGGAATAATAAACTTATAAGCAGAAAATAAATTTATAAACAGAAAATAAACAAACGAACACCAGAAAACAAAATTAAAATATAGATAATTGGAATTACAAATTAAAATATTTAACAGAACACTCCTTGTATTGAATGGAACAAAATTTCAAGCTAGTTCCATAATGATACATTATGTATATATAAGCATAAATGTGCACATGTACGTGTGTTATATAAATATGAGAGAAATAAATTCTATATTTATACAAAATATATATTTATACAAAAAGCATTCATAATTAAGCACAAGGAAGAGCAAATCCAAACCTCTAATAAGTATTAATAACTAGGAAATCTCATGGATGATAGAATCTTCAAAGAAGAATTCAGGCCAATAAGGAGAAGAAGAAGTAGTTCCTCCCCCATAACTGGAAGTGGTACTGCTAGCGTCACCTGTATTGTTGTTATTATTATTATTATTGCTTATCGAGTCATCTGTTACCGCACTTGGAGGAACAGGAGTAGGAGAAGGAAGAACCCAAGAAGAATCAGATGGGTTACTGTTATTAATATTTTGATCTCCATGGCTGACCATTGTTGCTGCAGTTAGGCCCATCTCATCACTATTCAAAGATGGTTGATAGCTGAAAGGGACTTGTGGGTCAGACAATTGAGGTAATAGATTTGAATAGTGGAGTGGTTGAGACGAAGCAAGTGATCCAAAGGGATATGATGAGGTTGAATTAATCATTTGCTGCTGCGATAAATTTTCTTTAGCAGCAGGATTAATTGAATTCAACAGATTTAGAATCTCCATATCTGTGATGCCATTTTGGTTCTTGTAATTAGAGCTAAAAGAGTTAATTGAAGTTGTTGACTGGAGAAGATTTTGTAAATATTGAAGCTTAGCTAATTGGATAGCTTCTGCTTGTAATCTGATGGCATGTTCATCCAATGAATGATGATCCATTAGGTCTTTTAGGTTTAAGAGGGCCATAAGATGAGGCAAACTTGCAAATAGGTCAGTTCTTGGTTGGTGTGTCATTGGATCAAAACCCATTTGAATTAGCTTCTTCTTCAAATGGGTGTTCCAAAAATTCTTGATCTCATTATCGGTCCGACCGGGAAGGTGACTGGCAATAGCTGACCATCTGCAAGAAATAACACAAAAGTTACATGAGTTTTAGTTCATTAGCACCATGCTTGTGAGATTAACATAATAGTTCGAACCCATGATAATGACAATAAAACAGTTGATAAAAAAAATAAGAAGAAAAAAAGAAAAGAAAAAGAAAGGGTGTGGATTCTGTGGAATTATTACTTGTTTCCAAGGATGGAATGGAGATTTAGAATTGTTTGCTCTTCTTCTTGAGAAAATTTCCCTCTCTTGATGTCAGGCCTCAAGTAATTCGTCCACCTCAACCTACAGCTCTTGCCACATCTATTAAGACCTGCAATTGGAGCAAATAAGATACTATAAACACCTTTTGTAACTATTTAGTGTGTTTATAAAGAGAGAAAGCGAAATGTTATAAGTTCTGAAAAACCTGCAAGCTTAGGAAGAGCTCGCCAACTTCCATGGCCATTTTTCTGGATGTAATCAACGAGTTTTTGATCTTCTTCAGTAGTCCAAGGTCCTTTCTTTAGGCCATTCTCATCACAACAAGGAGACCTACCCATCTTTCTATGTATCTCTGCTCTAATTTTGGTTAATTTGCTTCCCTCTGCTTCCACCAGAACTCTTTCTTCCTATATATACACACGCACACACACGGTCTTTCATGTCTTTAATTATTTAAATAAATAAAATATTTTAATGCTTTTTTTTTTTTGTTTGGTTGACTTAGATACTTCCCTTCTTCTAGCTCTAATGCGTGCGTGAGATCACACATATCTTCTCCAAAATCCGTTCAAGTCGTAGGTGTAATAGTTTAATAGACACACATGTTTTGGCCAAGTCATTTTTCTAATAATCAATCACTTCCTCAGTAAAATCAAATTTCCCAAATGCAACCACAATTCATGTTAAATTAATCATCCTTGAGTTAGATCAGCACAGATAAATTTTATTTTTAATGAAATTTTATATATATATGTATAACATCTTAATTAATAAAAGAAAATACACTTCCATACACGAAGCTTCTACATTATACGGGATTCGAAGAAAGATCCAACCACTTTAGGTCTAAGATACACAACATTTTCTTATATAAATAATACTTAAGATTTTATAAAAAAGTAAAAGGTTTTAAGTTTTCAGTACAGATACTTATTTGGCGAATGTTATTGAATTTACATAAAACCACACGTTAAGATGTTTTTCCTCTTGGTTGGAGTAGTGAGAGTGAGAGGCCAAAATGGGGAATTAAATAATCTAAAAAGTGGCAGGTCGATTTTAGTCATAGGAACGTATCCATGCACGCAAGAGGCGAACTTTCGTCACTATTTGCATGGCTTTAAATGACTTACGTAATAATATATTTTGTATTATCATAAGGAATCGAATTGGGATTAGTGCTCAACTTATACGTACCAACTTTTTTTTTTTTTTAAGGAATATTAAAACGAACCATGATATGAAATTAAATATATATAGAGACAATTTTCCGGGCCATGAACAATTTTAATATTACCATGTGATATGGTTAGCGCCTATTTTATAGGGCACGACAATAATTTCATTTTTTGCTATAAATATGGTTTAGAAAATTACAACATGCCCTTATGCGTTAGTAGGTATCTACGTACTTGGTATTGTCTCAGTCAGAAGGCTTTCAGAGGTCTTTGAACCGATGAAGACAAAAAGTATTAAGTCACACGTAATTTAATTAAATTAAATACCACTGTATATCAATTAATTTAAAACTAATCTAAAAATTATTGATCTAAAAAATATAATAAAATTAAATAAAATTTGTATTGAAGTTAAAAATAAATAAATTGTTTTGAGAAATGATAGATAATTATGATACTACAACTTTTGTTTTTAGTATTCGGACACGAGGATTCGAACATATATCTATTGTCAGATTGTATATGCATTTACCATTAAACTATGCCTTGAAGTGTAATACTACAAAATTTTTCAAATGAAGTAAATAATAAAAAAGTTTAAATAACACTAAGGACATGTTCGGCAATAAGGTTTAGAGTAGCATTTTGAATTAGTCAAAATATTATTTCTTTAAATTATTGTGTTCGGTAACATGATATATAAAGTAACTTTCAGAGGTCTATGAAATGTTTTTTAAAATGTTATCTTACCTAACATTTAGCGTTCCACACTTTTTACTAATTTTTTTTACAACCTTAACCTTATCCTTATCCTTAATTAATATAAAATTCATTTGTTATCACCTCATGTGTATATATTATTATCTTTATGTTTTGGTTATTTTTATTATCTTTATGTGTTTTATTATCTTTATGTAGTAAAAGAAAAAAAATATTATTTATATATTTTTATTTAAACTCAAGTAAATATTAAAAATTAAAAATATTGTCCCCGAAATATTAAAAATTTTCCATTTTATTAATAAAATAATGAACATTTCAATTTTTTATAATAAATTTAATTAAAAATTCTAAATAAATATTTCAATATCCTTTTCTATCATTTTAAATTTATTATCAATCAAATAACTTTTTATTCAATACTTTTACTTTCAACTGTTATGTAAACAACTAACAACTAACCCCTAGCATCTATCCGCGGCTACAATATAAATATTTATTACAAAGGGTGGCTATGTACACCGCGCATGCTTGGGTTTTATTGGACAACTGTTGAAAAAGAGAGTAGTCTCAATATCTAGAAAAGATCATGGGATACTCATGGAAAATCAAAAAAATAAAAAATAGTTCAAGCTGTTTCAATATATTTTTAACCTTATGACAGTGAGAATATTTAATTTGAGAAAAATAATAACACTGTATGAGATAAGAAAAAATTAAAATGAAATTATTTATAAAATTATGATAGTAATTCTTATTATTGACATAAGAGTTAAAAAAAAAAAGAAAAAAAATGTTTTGGTGACTTATCCTAACATCAAAACTCAATTGCCTTGGTGGATTGTGTATGACAAACAGGTTCAGATGTTCTATCAAAAAAAAAAAAAAAAAAACAGATGTTCTATCCAAAAAAAAAAAAAAAAAAAACGGGAAGAGATGTTTCCGGGGTCTTGTCTTTTAAAAAAAAAAAAAAAAAAACGGAAGAGATGTTTCCGGGTCTTGGTCTTTTTGAAATGTTTTCGTCTAACATATTTTAATTTTAACTGTTTGACCAATTCCTGAATAAATCAATTGAACCAATTAGCGGTTCAATCTGTTTGTAAATCGTGGTCGACCAGATGTATGGTTGCTTAGAGATTCTCTGCGCACATTTTAATCCAAGCTTAATGAAGTTCACAAGAAATAAAAACAAAGCAAGTTATTATGTATATCATAGAATCATATTTCTGTTTGTTAAAATATGGCTGGGAAAACTAAAACCTTCTGAAAAAGAAATTGAAGGCTTCAATTCTTTTACCTAATCGTTAAGATTCATACGTGACAACTTACAAGGACTGAAAAATTTCACCTTGCACAAGCCGAGCAAAGGGGAAAGAAAATATTAGAGAGACAAATAGTCCAAAATTAGGATCCAATCAAGCAAATCAGTGATCAGGGCCAATTACTGGCACCTGATTGAGAAGCATATATGTAATATGCACCAGCACCCACTGTATGAAAGCAAGTAGTAAACATTAAATAGAAGATGAAACAAATCAAGCAGGAGATAGACTATTTGAAAGAGACAATATAAGATGTGACCTATTTGACCCAAGAGAAGGCAGTTAGAGGGGAAGTTGGTGCAGCAAACACTCCAAAATCTACACCAATATTTATCTTTTTGTAACCCACAAGACATTCTACACATGCTTTGGGAATGCATTGGTTAATGGCTTTGTCTTCATTCTATTTGTTCTACTCCAAAAGTTTTGTCCTATTGTTCTATCGAATCTTCTTGTTTTTCTTCTGTGCTCAAAGTAAGTGGTTACCTAGTTGCACAAGCCACCAGATATTTTCAAACTCTAATCTTCGCCGCCCGATGAAGCACCTTTGACACAGACCAAATAGCTGAGTTTTAAAATAGGGTAAATTATTATTTGATCCTTTTGGTTTGGTAAAATCAACTGCTTAATCCCTATCTTTTAAAAAATATATGAATGCATCCCTATGACTTGTTCCCACTGGACTAATCCTTCCACTCAAAGCTTGTACCTTTTGCCAATAAATGCCTCATTCTTTTGCTAAATCCTCTCATACGAAAATTAAGAAAAAAAAAAATTAAGCTCAATGAAATCCTACAAGAAACCTATTCCCCCAAAATTCACCAACACACAAAAAAAAAAAAAAAAAAAAAAAAAAAAGCATTCATAATTAAGATGTTATTTTTTTAATTTTGTTATTATTTAAAGGGCAACTTTTGTCCTTCTTTACTAGGCATCTAAAAAAAAAAAAAAAAAAAAGCATCATAATTAAGATGTTATTTTTTAATTTTGTTATATTAAAGGGCACTTTTGTCTTTTTACTAGGCATCTAACAGCAAAAAATATAAATTTTAGAGGGATTCATGTATTTTTAAAAAGGCAAAGACCAAAACAAGAACCAAATGGTGATTTAACCTTTAAATATAAATAAGTTTACATAAATTTAAATCACAAAGAAGTTTTCCTACTAATAATTATCAAAATTTTATAGCATTAACTAACTTAATTTATTATATAAATCATAAATTCATAAATCTAATGGTGATAGTCCTTAGATATCTATTAATATTCCTATTTCATTTCACAATAAAAAACATGTTCCCTTAAATTACACAGATATACGAAAGAAAGGTGCAGTGCACAAGTAGCATTAGATAATTGGTCTCTATTGGTCAGTTTAAAAAATATAACAAATTGGCCAAATGATGGGTGCCATCTCAACTCTTGTGATTGGCTTATTAAACTATGTCTCTTATATGTAGAAGAAATATGCTTCAGTAGCAAGCTAGCTTCTTTCAAACCTAAATCCTTTATTTAATTTGTCAACTTAATTCAGTGTCAACATCAATTGCCACCAGCCAGAATGAGACAATTTTTTATACTAAACAAATCTTCTTGTTTTGGTTCTTGTTCACTAAGAAGCTGTAAAATCCTATATTTTCCTACCTCATATTATTAGTTAGTAAACGGTTCATACAAACATATAATTAACACTAGAGTTTTATCCTTCAACCAAGCTTCCTTGTCGGGTGGAAAATGTATAGTTTGAACAGAAAGGTATGTGATGTCAGATGATCGAGCTTTTTGTTTTACAAAATTCAAGCTTCAGCTAAACAACTGATTTTGCTTGCTCAACTGGGTTTCTAACCAATACTTCTAAAAGCCACACTCCTAGAAGCCATCTATCTTATTGGCCTCAATGGCCACGTATACGCGCCTCTGTCTCCATGCACATCTTACAGAAAATATGTCATTCCTGGATCGCAGGAACTATTTCTCACATCATGTCAAATATATTTCACTTTTGTAAGCTATAGCCTGGATCTTGAATTCGGGTTGGACATCATTTCAGAGGGTGAGCAAACTTTGGTAAAAACTAAAAAACCAAACTGAACCAAGTCAGGTCTGTTCGGTTAAATTTTCAATGATCAGCTCATTTTAATTACATTTAGAAAATAACTATAAAGTCGATTTTATTTA